TGGAAAGCAAGCACAATGACCTATCTCCTCCTGCTTTATGGCAATGAATGGAAACATCTGTATAGGGCTAATGCAAGGAAAAAGAACACAAAACTTTAAGGCTTACACACTTTAGTAGCTAGGACTACATATAATATAAAATTAAATCCTCCAGTGACACTTCTATTACTGATTGACACAATTTTCAAGTTTAGAATATATTAACTACAAAAGCAGTAGGAAAAAAAAAGTGATGCAGATTTGTGCAGAACATTTGAAAAACAGTAGTCATGATATGAGAGATTAAAAACAAATGAAATAATTGATTTCAGAATTAACTAAAATGAAGCTCTGATTTAGAAATATAAGTAACATTATTAAAGAATAAAACCTGATAGCCAAAACTTTTAAGTAATAAAGCCAACCCATTGCTGTCAACACATTTTTGCCTCTATGAGAAAAACAAGATCATGTGTTTGGATACAAGTAAAAAAGTGAATACTAGTCAGTGAATAAAAAGCCTTTCTACATTACTCAAAAATAGCATGCATTCCTTTCCTTTCAATGCATTTTTTAAATACTTAGGATCCTTTTAGCTTTTTTCTTTCTTAAACAAATAAACAAAAATTTGGGGGTGGTTTCCCCTAAAAATTAATTTCAAATTCATTCAGGTGGTAGTTAATGAGAATTCTAATTAACTGGACATCTGCCAAGTATGGGGATGGGGCATCAAAGAGAAATAGTTGTGTTTTGTTCCTTTTTTTTTTTTTTTTTTAAACTCAACAGGCTACAGGCTTCTATAATTTAGCAAGTCAAACACCTTTCCTGGAGTCCTTTCCAGGACCAAGAGCTCCCTTACTGCACACAGAAAAGCTCCCAACGGTAACATGCCAGACTGTGTCGACTCCCCCAACCCAACTGACAAAAAGAGGTCTAAAGATTCACAAGGAGGTTTTCGATTAAAACATGACATGAATCCTACAGCACATTATTGAGATTAAGTCTATCTAATTCAAATTGCCACAGAGGTCATTTAACGCCATCATAATCACCTGTGGAAATATTCAACGCGAGCACGTCCTTTTTCCAAGAAAAGGTTAATAGTCATTTCTGCTTTCCAAGCTACTGGAAACAAAACAATAAACATAAAAAAATACAAAGGAAAACTCTCTCCAATAAAGATTCTGCTAGAGGTAGAAATTTAAAGCAGCATATATTCTTTTAACTCCAGCTATCAGGGAACAAAACTGGCGTTATCTGAAATTACATTAACGGCTGCTGCTGACAATACTGAAGACAGACCACGGGCAGTAATTTATCCCTGAATTTCGTACTCAAAATTTCCCCACGGTAATACCATCATGACAGTTTTACTCGTATCCAATTTTTTAACGAAAAAAAGTGCGTGCTTTTGTAATCCAGGTAATTTAAAGAAAAGACATTATTGTAAACATCTCACTGACAGACTGTATTCACTTCTAGTTTAAAATCAGACATTTCCAATGGGCAGATTTTATTCTTATTTCCCCATTTTCCTAGCAGTACCTTTAATAAAGGCTTTTGTGCCTCACTTAAGAGTGCTGAGACCTTCTACATTTCAGAGCGATTCATGATGAGTATGCTTTCAAATAATGTTCAGGTCAGTGTGCCCAAAAGACCACTTTCTCAGTTACTTGAATGCATTTTACCGGCCTGTGGTCTTATTAAATTCAGCATTTCATAAAAATGAAACGTCTGATGCCCAAGTTCAGCTGAGCTGGCAAAAAAATAATCTGAATGATAAAAGGGCGCACATTTTCTGTAGGGATCGCTTCGGTCCAAAGCAAACAAAAGTCCCAATTCCAGATGCTGAATGTGAGAGAGGATCCTCAGACTCTTCTAAAAGTACCATGTGCAATGCACACAGAACAGAAAGATTTGGGGGGGACTTCAATACTAGTAGTCGTGAACATGGCAGACTTGGCAATAGCTTCATGAAGACCACTGGAGATGGGTTTTTCTACTGAAAGACAATTCTGGGCTTCAAGGAAAAAGTATACTTGAAGACATTTCTTCCTTTTTTTACTTTTGTAGTACAAATATGCACAGCATAGTATATTTCTGAAAAAGCAATAGACGTATTAAGAAAATAGACGCTATTTCTAAATTTTGTTAGGAATAAGAAGGCACCACTGATTTGAGGTTGTGTCCTGTCGATGGGATAGTTGATTTTGAGTCGTTTATTTCAGCATTTGCTCTTATTAAGCTTTTTTCCTGCTGATACCACTTGAGAACGTTACTGTGGTTTACGGACCACAAACAAGACACATTCATAGTAGTATTTCATCATGGAGAGGTCATTCACAGTATATGTTGACAAGACAGATTCCTTTTCAACCTGGAATGCAAACAACAACCAGAATGGTGATGAGCATGACGATGACACAGATCCTGAGTGCTTGTGAGTGACGGGAGCTCATATTAACTCATTTAGTACATACAGATACCCCACTACTGGCATTATTAGTAATCCTAACTTTACAAAGAACAGACTGCTCAAGGTCATACCACCAGTAAGTGGGAGAACTGGGATTCCAACTCAGTTAGACCAACTCAGGCGGTCTAACTCCAGAGCTTGAGCTCTACATCACTGATACGTTACTCTTCTTTCTTTCTCTCTTTTTTTTTTTTGAGAGAGACAGACAGACAGACAGACAGAACAAGTGGGGGAGAGGCAGGAGAGGAAAAGAGAGAATCTTAAGCAGGCTCCATGCCCAGTGTGGAGCCCCACGATCCCATGACCATGAGATCAAGAGTCAGACGCTTAACCGACTGATCCACCCGGACACCCCAACTTCTCCTTATTTTGAAGAACGAATCTGTTGTTTTTAAAATGAATAAAATACTTTTAAATAAACACACAATTAAAACATAAGTTGGGGCGCCTGGGTGGCGCAGTCGGTTAAGCGTCCGAC